GGGGGGGGGGGGGGATGACCAAAAAATTGGTCGAATGCGCTTACAATTATTGTTGGTGGCGGTTGTTCGTACACATTATGCCAGTTGTTGGCAACAGTTTTGGTGAGGACGGCGATGACAATGTCTTCATTTTTTGCGGTCGCTAAGCCCATGATGACTCTGAGGCGTCGTCATCATCGTCGCCGTCGGCATGGCCGTACGAGGACTCGCCAGCAGATGACGAGGCTGACGACGACGAGATCGAGGCTGATGACTCCGAGTCCGAGTCGGCGGCGGCGACATTGCCCTGCGCGGGGAGGCGCAGCTTGATTGCGCGACGAGGTGGGGCGGCGGCGGCGGCGGCGGGAACCGGAGGCACGGATGCGGCGGGCGAGAGCGGACGTGCCCGCTTGGCTGGCGGTTGATCGGCGGGCACGGCGTCCGCTGGTGGGCTGCGGTTCCGCTTGGGGCGCTCCGACGGCGGGGCAGGCGGGGCAGGCGGGGCAGAGAGCGGCTCGTTGTCCGAGTCGTCCGAGGCGACGATGCCCTCGGCGGTGGCAAAGTCGACCCGGAGCAAGGTGGCGTCACTGTTGTGGACGAGGGCAAGCAGGCCGTCCGAGAGCGCAGCGGCGACGCGGACAATGAGCGAGTCGGGCGCGTTGAACTCTGCGGCGGCGGCGCCGATGCGGCGCATGTCAAACTCAAGCGCCTGCGAGGTGCGGTAGTAGCCGGAGCGGAGCCGGGCGAGAATGGTGGTGAGGTCAGACGGAGCGGTGACGAGGTTGGGGTAGAGCGGAAAGTCGGAGACGTCAACCGGCATGCGGAAGGCGTCGACCGCGATGGCAAAGTCGTTGTCCTGGAGGGCGGCAGCAATGGCAGTCGTGACGCGCTCGGCGCGCGCTCGGTCCAGCTCGGCGCGCTGCCACATGTGGTTCTGGAGCGCAGCGTACTGCGCCTCGCTGCAATCGAGCTCCGGCGCGGTGCTGTCGGCGTCGGCGCCGAGGACGGCCGCCACCGCGGTCCAAGGCACAACTTCCCACGGCGAGACGGCGGTTGGCGCTGCGTCTGAGAGCCAATTGATTTCGACCGACTCCCACGGCGAGTGCGGGTACCGCGGATCGGCCACGGTCCGCCCCGCGAGTCGCCCCAGGTACAGCTTGGCCATGTCCTCGTAGTAGACAGCAACGAGCGGCGGCTGCTGCGCGGCGTTGTGCGCGCCGAGCCTGGCCTCGGCGGCGAGGACCTGCTCGCGGAGGAGGAGAAAGTCGGCCACGCCCTCGACGCCCGGATCGTACTCGATCCAGAGCACATCGATGTTCTGCAGCGCCCGCGAGGCCCGCGGCATCTCGTCGCTCTCGATGCGCAGACCGAGGTGGACTGTCCGCCGCTCGTTGCACTGCCACTTGAGCTCGACAACTTCGGCTGGAACGACGCCGGTGCCTGGGAGGGACGGCGCAAGGTCCCACAGCGGGACAAAATCCGACGGGTGGCTCTCTAGGTACGCTGTGTGGCCTTGAATGGCGTAGATGACGCGGTCGCCAAGTTGCGGCACGTAGCGGTGCGGCGGGCTGCGGGTGGTCAGCCAGTCGGGGAAGACGAGCATGGCCGATGGCTGGGCCCGCCCGCGTGCGCCGCCACCGCGTGCGCCGCCGCGTGCAGTCGTTGCTGTTGTCGTTGTTCGCGCACGCTTCCGCTCGCGGCGCGGCGCAGAGCCAAACGACGACTCGGACGACGAACTCGACGAGAGCGCATCACGCCACGACCGAGCTGCCCGCCGCCGTGACGACCGTCGAGTAGGCTCGGCGGCGGCCGCCGCCCGCGCCGCCGTCCGCGCTGCCCTCTCTCCGCCGCGACGAGAGTGCCGACAGCGCCATGTC